CTGGGGCTGACATATGTTACTCAGCGTGACGAGCCGAGTCCGTAGACACCCAATTTGTGGACTTTTGACAAAATTTTTCGTCGCAGCAAGCGGGCCTCGGAGACGTTTAACGAGGCATCCCTTCCGAAGGGAGCGACTTAGAAGCCTGGGGCTGACATATGTTACTCAGCGTGACGAGCCGAGTCCGTAGACACCAAATTTGTGGACTTTGGACAATTTTTTCCGTTGTGACATTCACACTAGTCTTAATGCTGTGGCACCTCAGCATATGAGAGATGTTATGGTGTTCCTCAAGGCTCCATCCTCGGCCCTCTTTTGCTCTCTGTTTACATGCATGTTTTCCATTTAGTAGATACATCAGCTCAAACTAAGTCAGTGCCAACAAATGACGCTGCAAACACATGCAGCTCATACCTTCCAGTCCGGCAGGAATCCCTGGAGCATTACCGTAAGGAACCTGAGCAGCTCCTCCTCCTGCAAAAAAAATCAGATGGTAAAACTGACTCACATCTCTGGTCTCTTTTCCCCCGTCCATCTGGTATCAAACAGCTCTGTGCTAGCCACGACTTCAAGTCTTGACTCATGCATCGAAAGCCACTTCGACGGAAACCTGACTAATAGCATGATAGAAGGATGAAGTCATATCAGTGCTGCTCACCATATTTGCCACCAGTTGATTCCAGTCCTGCACCAAGGGCTCCTGACAGAAGACAAGAGGTGGCCTCAGTGACAAGCTTGTAAACATCATGGCAAGTATATTCATACACAGCCCTTGTTATAACGTTAAATGCCCTCCAGCTTGTCTGTTGATTTGATGCACCAGTTTCTCAAAAAGCAACAGATTTGGCTGAAATATTGTGAACAGATGAGGGTAATTTAGATTTTAAGCTGCAGTTTTTATGCTGCATTTGTTTAATGTTTTAATAATCAACTGGTAAGTTAGAGATCCTGCTGCTGTGTGTGCTCTCAATGATTTATTTGTGACAGTGTATGGCAGGTAGAGGAACATACAGTGTTATCTCTGATGCTGCTCTTACCATATGCCCCTTGGACCTGTCCGGCGTAGCCTCCTGCACCGAGGGCTGCAAAAAGAAAGTATAACCATGAAGGTCACACCCTGTTGCTTCGTTAACAGATTCACATGTAAGCTGTGAGAAACTGTGCAAAAAGCATCTACAGGAGCAGGAAGTCAGAAACCACCAGACATAAGTGGTCAGCTTTTATAAATAAGAGACAATAGCTACACCCAGTGGGCAAAAAAGACCACACTGGACATGTTCAGTAGAGGAGGTGTTCTTCGCCTCATGGCCTCTTATTTTTTTCAGCTGTAGCAGGTTAAGCATCTATGGGTTAATGCCATCTGTTAGGGGTTTCAGCTGGTTATAACTCCTCAAAACTGTTACCTTGACTCTTTCCTGCTTTGTTCTCAGCACCATCAGCTAACTCTGCAGGGTAACCAAGCCCTGAAACATAATTCTAATTAGCATTATAATTATGTCTGTGAGCCTTTGACTCTTAAAGTACACTGAGTCCCTGATTTTTTTTTTTTTTAGACTGCACTCACCGGCTCCGTAACCATCGCTGTAACCATTCCCGTACCCTGTTTGAGAGGAAGGGCTCCATGTTAAAATGATATTTACATTTAAAAACTGAATTTCTACGGTAATCTTTTCAATTCACTGACATTTCTGACTACACCCAGAGCCAAAAACAAAAAGGAAATGTTTAAGAGAGTCTTCTGCACACATGCCAAATACCTGCAGACAAAGCTTTTGCAGAAGCATCTACACCTACAGAGAGAGCAGAACAAAGACAGGCACTAAATACAAAGGATCAGCATGTCTCAACTGAATATCATCACTCTTGTCGGTGACAGTTTGATGCAGATTCCCTCTGACACCAAAGAGAATGAATCCTCGGTCATTGAAGGCAGACAGTTCACATTTCAAGGTTAAAGTTATGTTTCTTCGATTTAAATTGCCCTCTGTAACTCACACAGTTTGACTGGTTGGATCTGAATTTCTCATTGCATGTACTGATGATGAGCTGCCACTTACCGTAGCCGTTGCCTGCTCCAGCTCCCAAGTATCCTGTCGCTCCCTCACCGTAGCCTGTGATAACACACGTTCAAAGCAACAATCAGACTGTTACTGTTTTTACATTTGTTTAACAGAAGGTATCAGTAACAAACATAAAACATGACATGATTACAAAAACATTTTGCACTGACTTCCATGCAAAAAGAAGGAGAAAGATATTCACGGGAATCAGTGAATAATCCTTTGCTGTTGTTGTTGTCTTCTACTTTTTAAAAGCAGTGTTAATTACTCAACAGAAAGGGAAGGAAAATACTGGAGCAGCCTCTTGTGTGACCTTTAAAGCAAGGTGACACTGAACTCAGTCACTGCTAATTTTTTTGACTAATAAACAAATGAATGGTTTACAAGGCAAAGTAGGAGCAACAGCTGATTTTCTGCCGTCTGACACATGATCTGCTGTGTGTCCTTGCCTTGCCATTCACAATCTGAAAATCAGTTGGAGAAGACTGTGTTTTTAGACAAGCTTCTAGGGTCTGTGGATGAGGTCCTTAAAGGAATGGTTTGGTATTTTGGGGAATACACTTGTAGATAAGAAGATTAATGCTAGCTAAGCTATACAGTGTAAAGCTACAACCATCGGACGGTTAGCTTAGCTTAGTAAGACTGGTAACAGGGGAAACAGCTGACCTGGCTGTGTCTAAAGGTGGTATCGACTTTCTCATCTTACACTAAAGCAAATAAGCACATTTCTCAAAATGGGGGACTATTCCTTTAAGAATCAAGAGTCGCAGCAAAGAGCAAAGGAGGATAAGCTGAAGAATGAAATGAAGTAAGTCAAGACAGATGAAAGATTTATCCTCAGCCTCACCATTTGACTTCCCTGCAACACCTTGAGGATACCCACCCTGTCCGAGTGCAGCTGCAGCTACAATTTATTTTACAGAGAGTTAGGAGTTAGGAAAAATGAGCACTTAAATCCCCCAATCCCAACAAAGAAAAGAATAGTGAAGGAAAATGGAGGTGCTCACCTCCAAGTTTGCCAGCTGCACCGCCCAGGTATGCTCCCTGTCCCAAACCTGTGGGCAGTATGGGAAATCTTCACCACAGGTAGTATAAATATACATCAACATCTCCATCTGCTAAAAGGACTGTTAACTTTTCCTGTCAGTGCCCAGCATTACCTGCTCCATAGCCCCCAGGGCCCAGGCCTGCTCCCAAATGGTTTCCTGCTCCACCAAGATAACCTGTGGAGAAAGTCAGCAGACGCTCAGCAAAATTGCCTGTAATTTAGTCTCCAATGGTTTTATTAAACACTAGTGCCACATTTTATAGAGAAACGCACAATATTGATCACACAGTGTGGCTTCCATTCAGATCCAACAGAAACAAATTCAGCTTCACTATAACACTGAATATCACAACCAGGTTCAAATTAGAATCACTGTCACTACTCATGATTCTCATGACATCCGTCCTCATTCAGTAGTTTCCATACACAGAAGATGCGGTGGTCGCTGTGAACAAGTGTTTGACACGTGCAGTCGACAGCAGAACAAAGAGACACACAATAAATTTCAACATCTCTGTGAGGTTTCAATGGTTTTTAGGGCCCTCTCCACTGGGCAGCAACTTTCCTGGACTGAGTCCTAAAAACACCAGATGTCGGACCTTTGAAATAACAGAACGTAACAAGCTGAAACGCGCTCCATGAATCACAGGTAAAACCAGACAGACACACAATGAGACACAGAGATATTGTTGGATATGTTAGGTTTGACCATGTCTTTTCACAGTTTCAGATATCAGTGAATGCTACAAAATCCTCCATAGACAAAAGCACCAAAGGGTAACGATAATGTGTCATTATTTTTGGCTCTATGACTTTGAGCTCTTAAAGGAGAATCCAACCTTTGAGAGGACAGAACCATCTCCTGATATTCATGAGGACATGAGAGCCTTTTACACATAAATACTCATGTGGAGTTGTATTATAAATAAACTGAGATTTAAAAACATTTAATCGTTGCACTGCGGATGTTAAAGTATTAGTACTTAGTTCGATATGCAAACATGGGCACAGTACTATAGTCTGTTTCCTGGATCAATCCTGAGTGTCAGAGTGGATTCACACAAAGTGTTTGTCTGCTCACAGTTCCTATTTATACTGTTAACACTCAATCATGTCAAGGCTGCAGTTCACAGCAGGCTCAATCCTGTGATGTTACCGATACGCCTTGGACATGCAGGTGACAGTTTACCACTGATTTCCTGTCCATTCAGGGTTATATTCCCTGGATCAGAAAGCTGGCCATTGCTCTCATTAAAGATCTGTCAGAAGCTTAAACCTCTCAATGGTTAAAGTTGTGATTCTCCATCTATACACAAGGACACCATTCAGCATGCCATTTACCAACTCTATTCTCAGCATTGTTTTCACCTCCAGCTCCACAGCCAGAGCAACGATCATCACTGCCTGGCTCAGAACAAAGTCGTTGTGTTCGTTATGTGTCACTGATCAGAACTAACAAACTCTCTAAAAGACAAACAAAGATAATCCTCACACTGTAGCTTCAAGCGTTATACTGTGTTTGTGTTGATATTCTAACCAAGGCCTAAAGCACAACAGCAGCACTAACAATAGGAGACATGCAAACAGATCTCAAGGCACCAGTACACAACAAGATGACAAATACTGTCTAACGAAATGACAAAGATATCGACAGGATAACACAGATGCAGGATGCTGATTCCATTTTACCCAGTTCATGAGGAAGCTAAAGACTAAACTGCTTTAAGTAGCCCACATGTTTAGTACATACAAAGTGCTATGTTTCAGTTATCAAATAATAATCTGATCAGGTACTGCCTGTACAGTCATAAAAGAAATACAAAGAAATAAGAAAAATTCAAAAATTTACAGGGATCTAAGCGCACAAATGGAATATAATATTCATAATTATGTTTTGCATTAGTGTATAATCACCTGAAACTGAGAACCATTGTGTTTTCTTTATCTTAGAATGAGCCTTCATATCTACATAGGGAGTAGGTCCTCCTCCTCATGTTGCAATGCCATGCTCCTACGGTAGCCCAGAACAGACAAACCAAACACCGGATCTAGAAAGGGCTTTTCGGATTTTTACGTTACCCGAAGGTTCTCCTGAACTACACGCTTGGAAAGGGAGGGGGAGGTGGGGTATTCAGTTGGTTGTAATCTGAAGCCTCACCACTGGATGTCACTAAGTCCTACACGCTGGTCCTTTAATGAACAAGTTTTTGCCCAAGAATAATTGCTAGTTAAAAGTTAGGCCAACACCTCGGAAGGGTCATCTGAAAATACATTTGTCTAGACACTAGTCACACTAGACACCACTTTTCAGGCATCTGACAAAGGTGACCAGAGGCGCACCAGTGACCTGTGGTTATATACCTCAAGAATGGATCATGAAAAATGAGGGAAAAGGGCGAATATGAAATATAAAAAACAAAGTGAGATTGTGAGAAATAAGCTTTGTTCTTACATGTTGCCCGGTTACTCCTCTCAGTCTGCCTTGGGACACTGAGAGCTTTTGGCTCTTTGGCATCATGATAAATGCGCTTTGCTTCCTGACTACCAGCAGTAAAGCCTTTAGCTTCCTGCCCCTCTACTGAGGCGATGCCTAAACTTTGGGTTCCACTTGCATGTGGGATTACCGGTCCACGGCTCCCCCTTCCTTGTACTTGAAGATTTAGAGAACCATGACTACGGTTTTCTACAGCAACAGTCCCATGGATTCTAAGCCCATTTGTGCCTTTAGTCACAAGCCCAAGGTCTCTGACACCCTGCCTGTCTGCTGCAGCAGATAAATAGTTTCTGGTTCCCTGACCCGTTGGAAGAGAGAATATATTGCCTCCGAGATCCTGAGTTTGTGTCAGAGGCAGTGGATAGGTTTTCTCTGTTTGTGCTTGTGGAGTCTCATGTCCATGATGTCTGCCGTCTTTACCAAGATGAGGCCGAGGCACTAAACTCTGACTCTGTGTTTCTGATCCCAAAAGCTCATGCTGATTGATTTCCAAATCACTGGTGGATCCACAGTTTTTAGCTCGCCGATTTTGGTGAATAGATGAATCATAGTCTTTGGCACTCTGTACCCGAGAGGAAGCAGAGCTCAGGCTTCTAATGTCTTTTTTAAGAGGCAGCTGCTGTCTTACTCCTCCAGCTGCCAGTGTGGCTCCACGGCCTGTGGTGCTCTTTCTTTTCAAAACCATAGGCTCATAACTTTCTCCTCCCCGTGCTTGTGAAACAGCCAGGCCAAGATTTTTACTCGGTTTATCAAGAGGCATTGTAGATCCAAGACTTGATGACTTAATTACTGGACTGAGGCCTTTGGCCTCTCCTCCTGCCTGTAATTCAGGTTCAGCAGGACCAAGAACGCTGCCTCGTCCAACTGGTATTTCAGCCCAGACCGGCCAGCTCAGGTCCACCCAAATCTGCTGCAGACACACCTGGCAGAGAAATATCATGCATTCATGACTTCTTCTTGGCTCAGAGACAACAGTGCTTTTTTTAGGGCCAACAGCACACTGTAGTGGCCAGTGGCAAAATATGCACTGCTCTTTGAAGTTAATGATGTGTGTATCAGAGCATTCAATGCAATATAACACATCATCCACAGAGTAATCAGTACTCAGGTGGAGGTAATTCAAGACCAAATGGAGACAAGACACAATCCATTGTGGCCTGAAATAAGCCCAGTCTAAAAAGGAAGCTCGTCACCATTTTGACGAAGTGAGACAACAGGGTGACAACACACAACTGAAGCCACACTTCTCATTACATCAGCACACTGACATCGACACATCAGACATGACCTGACAACAAAATGATGTCATCCCAAATTGTTGAAATGCCATGAAACACAGCAGTGTTACAGCACAAAGACAAACACACCACCAGCATCAGTGCATGACAAAGACAGAGCTTAGTAAAACACTGATGCGGTATGAAAGGAGACACCTACAGCTCACAGCAAAGGTTTTAAAAGCAGAAAACATTTGCCAATAGATTGAAATAATTCCACTTTCACAGCACAGTTTCACTCAGCTCTTGAAACTATGGACATACTAAAACCAATTACTGTGAACCAGAACCAACTGTTACTAGAATAAAATAAAAACAAATGTGTGAGTGTGTGTGTGAGTAATTTGTTTTTGTGCCCACATTAATCAAATAAATGTGCAGAAATCTAGGTGAGGTTTATGCAAACATCAATTACAATCTCAATAGAGCGAAATACAGTTTACACAATTATCAGTATCGTCTTAATCTCACTATCATCAAGCTGTTAGTGTGTATTTAGCATCAATAACCTATTTTCCAGTAGCACCATTCACGTACCCCACACACACAAACTCTAAAAAACAGTGATAAACTCACAGACTGGGCCTGTGGCAATAAGAGCTGCAGAAGTCATGCAACATGCAGCAGCACATACAGTATAAAACACTGACAGACACACAGTCTGCGTGTGAGTTTCACAGAGGTTACACACAAATGCAACAGACGAAGACTAACAAACACAAACACCACAGGCGGCTGCACTGAAGGTTTTACCGGGTATCTGTTGCTCAGCCCTCTGCCCAGTGGGATACCAAAGTCCAGGTCCTAATGACAGCAGATAATAACTGTCATTAGACACTAGAGCCACACATGTGTACAGTCTTCAGGCTTGATTAAAAAGATGAGCATCTCTGTGACAGTGATAAAATAAAAGGCTTTCAGCTCAGTGGAACAGGACAGGAAGGTGTTATATTAAAGAAAGATTTTGGATATAGTTTTGTAAGATCACCCAACTACCTTCAAATGTGATAATAAACCATGTGATTATCACGGTCTCATTTGTTCGACCTGATGAGCCTCATGTTTGTCCATGACTGACAGCGTAAGTGTGAGTTTGTGTGAGTGTTGGGACATATGAAAATACCCTCCAGCATATAAATCTGAACTGAATGGAAGAAGTAACGAGTCCGGAGGTAAAACATGATTCATCGCTTACCTGATCGGGCTCCAGGGTAACCATTGCCAGGTAAAGCCCCGTATCCTGGCAAGAAAACAAAGAGCTCAAGTTCAGAGGACGTGGAGCAAACCTTTAAAATCAACCAAGCATTCTGATTACGTCAGTAGAGCCCCAGGTTTTTCTCAGTTTTACAAGGACACATCATTTATTTGCTGAGATGCGATCTGCCCCACATGCACCATCTTCGCAGACGATGACAGGGAGCCACTTAGCTGAGATTTGGGTAATCATAGAAAAAAAAAACAACAACTGTATAATTACTTACCTGGCAGAGTGCCAAGGCCGGCACCGTAAGCTGGGAAGGCAGAAAAATACTGAGTTAATTTCTATTTACAAAGATTTCTACAGCTGATACACAGCTGTTTATGTAAGATTTGTCTTCATCCCTGCCTTCCTCTTCTTCCTCTAAAACGTCACTCGGATCGTCCAGATAGCAACACTTTGGTTTTTGACAATTAAGTGCTTTGATTTAACGTCTGTACTGAAGAAAATACAGTAAATGCCTCTTACTGAAGAAATAAAATTAGTGGCATATGTTTCAGTGGCTCAGCACCTTTCATAAACCTGATTCCATTTCATCCTTGACAGTTTTCTGCTAAAGATTTTTCAGCCAGCATTGATGGCCAAGATTTCTGCTGCTAGATGTAAAGATGACTAAAAACAACCCCCGATGTGTCACACACCAGGTTTCTTAAAGCCTTTGAAAACTTGACTTATCAAAAGTTTAAACACTCAAAAAAAAACTGTAGTCTAATCTGCTAATGTGTACAATCAGGACTGCATTTGTGTGGTTTGATCAGATGTGACTCACGGCTGACTTACCGCAACAGACAACTGTCATCAGATTTTCAGATTTTGATTCAGATATTGCTAAACTCTGACTCTGCTGCATTGAAATGACTATTTAGCAAACGGAGCCCTGCCACGTGTCAACCCAATGCAAAAAGCACAGACAGAAACAGAATTGCAGACGCCTCTTCTGTGAAATTAAATACTTATTACTTTGGCAAATAATAATGTATTCATGTAATGGCTTATAGTTAGAAGATGAGAATGAAAATAGGTTTTCAGGGAATTTGATGTCAGTCCAATCATGACAGGTGCCAGTTTTTTTGTTTTTTTTTAAATAGCAGGAAGCTAGGCTTTTGCCTGCCAATGAAATATTCTTCATCACACTTACAGCATGTGTTAAATGTATTGATTCATTATATAATTCAGCTGGTTGATGACATCTTCCTTTATATGTGAGTATTACCATGTTTCCCTGCTTGGCCTAAGCCCAGTCCCATTCCATTTGTAAGTCCAGTCCCCAGCGGCATTCCTGTGCCCAGACTGGCACCTGCAGTCACAAGAAAGATGGAGCGTATGAGTAATCCACAACAGAAGTCAAAGGAATATGATACAAGGCAAGTGTGGCTGTGAGGGTTTTTTTTTTTAAAGTGGTTTATGGATGTACCATAGGGTCCCTGGGCTCCATATGCACCTTGCTTCAGGCCGGCTCTACCTCCTAATCCAAGAGATCTGTAACCCCCTGAGAGAATAATGAAAAGAACACATTATTGTTGAACAGCAGAGCAACTAGTATCATCATTCACAATTTAGACAGGTTGACAGACAGGTAGACGGGGTCTCTGCTGCAGGACTGGGTGGAGGAGAGCCAACGATGGCTTTTTCATTTCGAAATACACCTCAAAGGATGGAGTCAAAAAAACTCTCACTTTCCTCTTTGAAGATCTATTATATCGTGGTCATTAATGATATAGTGTCCAGTGTTTTTGGCCACATGATATGTTTGTATTTCTGCTCTGCTGCTGTTAGTCCTACAGGGTAACTAATGCAACTTACCAACACCAAGCTGAGCCCCTGGATAACGGCCATCTAATGTTAAAAAAAAAAGAGAAGAGAAAATACAAACTTGACGTATGTGAAGTAAAAGTAATATAAGACGATCCAGTGTGCAGAAAGCTAGAAAAACATACTTCCAGTCTTCATTGCTTTGCTGCCATATCTGCTTCCCAGTGCTCCGAGGGCGCCTGCAACTGAGAGCAAGTGGAAAAAAGAATCAGTTCAAGCAAAAATTCAAAAAAATAAATATGTTGTTTCATTATAGACATTTTATTTCAAAATCTTGTTTTTCTTTTATTATGACATTTTTCCCCATTAAAACATTTTATGTCAGGTTTTATTTCATAATTATGTGTCATTATGAAAAGTATTATTATGAAATAAAAAGTGACGTGAAATACAAGTGTTATTGGAAACAATGCAATAATGAAAAAAACAGATTGATAATTTTGATTTCCTGATAATGAGTTGATTTTCAAATGATTATCCCATAAATTATTGTTTTATTTATACATTTTCCACAATTTATCCCTGTGATTATTTATCAAAGAAAACCACTGACCTCCAGGTTTTACTCCAACGCCAACACCTGACAAAAAAAAAACAAACACAGACACAAAGAGGACACACATGAGCAAATTTCACATTCAAGGAAAATGTTTGTTCTCTTATTTGACTTTTTACAGAAGTTACTAATTCCACGGAGCCTTGGTCTGTGCCCATAAACCAGGAAAATACAATGAATATACACAAACATACACAATTTCGAGCTCAACACAAGTTGATCCAAAACAGACCTTTGACTTTACCAAGTTAGCAGCAGTCATGAATGACATGGTCATGAAGGTGAACCTCAAGTGTTCTTCAGTTTCCAATGTACTTAAAACCCATTTACATGCTAAAGACGTTAAAAAGGTTTAAAATGTGACATACCTCTGGCTGGCAGCACTCTCCCCCAGGATACACTCTGAGGTTTAACCCCTGAAAAATTCACCAAAAATTGTTTAATTTGAATTAAATTGAAAGTATATCAAAAAAAAATAAATTAAACTAATAAAACTACAGACACCATATACTGAACAGTATAATACAAATACATGCATGAAATACAATCATGAAAATAATGCACAGTGAGGCACAGACGATGCACCCTTACTGCAAGACACAATGTGAACAAGCAATGTTCAAGTGCGCACAAAACTGAAATCTTTGAAGGAAAATAATAATGATAAAAAAAAAAAATACTGATTTAAATGGGTCCTTTATATTCATAGTGAATTTTTGTCTTGTCAGAAATTATAGTTTGCTGCTATTTGGAGTCATTACAAACATATTTTTTAAGCATTCATTATATAGATTATATGTCATCCGTGTAATTTGAAGCACAATGACATATTTTGACATGTTTTACAATATAACACAGACTGTGTCGCTTTCTAGATAACTGACATCTTCATGGATGTCAGGCAAGGTGTTGCAACTGCTTGCTAATCACAAAAAGGTAAGGCCTTTGATAGATGACTACATGAATGACTTCAAACTTGTGAGTAATACACATGTCACTGAAGAGAGACAGAAATCCATTGATGGAAACAGAGGATGAAAGAAAATCAGAGCGACAGTGTGGAGCCTCTTAGCCCTTCTCACAGCCGGTCGTCAGATTTTGCCTGCCTCTGCCACCTTTTCACCGCAGCTTTTGATCCAATGAAATTAGACAATATAAACCGCAGTGACTTGGCAGGATTACTGATGACTCCACAAACCTACATAGTCCAGTGCTTCTCTCTCCCTCAGTCTCACAGACATGATATCTAACAAGTAAGTGAGAGTGAGTCACTGAAGACACTGATGCGTCAGAGCTTTGACAGTATGAAATCATACTGCTACTGTATGTCACAAACAACTTATTGTGACAACTACAGCCACAGCTTGATGTACAGATGGGTGACAAATAATAAAAGTGTCTCAGAGAGGTGTTGGGCCACCATGTGACACCAGAACAGCCTCGGTGCATCTTGGCATTGATTCTACAAGTCTCTGAACTCTACTGGAGGGATGAACACCATTCTTCCAGGAGATATTCCCTCATTGTGGTGTTTTGATGATGGTGTTAAAGAGCGCTGTCTGACATGTCAGTCCAAAATCTCCCATAGGTGTTCAACTGGGTTTAGATCTGGTGACTGCGAAGGCCATGGCATATGATTCACATCATTTTCAAATCACTCAGTGAGCCCTCGTGCCCTCTGGATGGAGGCACTGACATCCTGTTTCTCCTCTTTCAGCTTTTTCCTTTAATTTGTCACGTGTCCATAAATACAGCTATGGCTACATACAATTGCAAAATTACCCCCCCCCCCAAAAAAAAGAAAGAAAAATATTATGGGTTTGTGCAGCATTATCCAGACTGTACTTTTTTGGGGGGGGGGGATTCTTTTGTCTATTTCTACCAATATTCCATATTGGTAGAAATATTTTCCTTTTAACCTAATGGTTTGTATGTTTTTTTAATCAGTTAGCCAAATTTGATTTGAGTAAATTATGTCTGCAAAAACTCAGATGAGACGTTTTTTTATGTGAGACTTGTACTAATTTGTGTTAGATGAGAGAAGAGGCATTCATCAACAACAGCATAGTGAAACATAAATTGATATTTTCACATAGTGTTGAAAACAAACTGGGAACCAAATCCAGACTAGAGCATTATAAAACTGTAATCTGAAATGTGACAAACAGTGAGGAGAAGAGTAAACCTGTGATTTTGCTTTAGGACACAACCAGTATTCTGTCTTTTCATATGTGACCCCGTGTTTTACTCACCGCCTTGCAGAGTTTGCTGAGCCAGCCAGAGAACCAGGGAGGTCTGGAGAAGAGTTCGAGCCAGCATGATGGAGGAGACCGGGTCTGAAGAACGGAGCAGCACAGAGAGACCAGCTGATGGACTGATGGACAAACAGAGGGATGGGTGTTAAAAGCACAAAAGCCCCTGATGTCTTTTATATGGTTTTCTCTCTGATACCCTCCCACTGACCAGTCCTGCCCTCTGAACACACACACTGGTCTGATTGGGCAAAGCTATAGGCCCATTCTGGTCCATTTCCATCAGCTGAGTATGCACAACACACACACACACTCACACACACACACACACACACATACACACGGGAACTGAGATTTTGTATTTTCTCCTGCACCTGAGAATTCACACCTTCTCTTAACCATCTCTGTGCTCTGCATGTAGCACATAGAAATTATGAGATGTGCCAGATTGCGTTTCAGCTAATGGTTTATCATAGTATCATACACATTTTCCTGAAAGGATAAGTCAGACATTTCTCTTATATTTCGTCTCAGTCTTTCCATGACTGTGTTAGTGGATATAGATCAAATGCTTTCTGTCACAGTAACAAGTGTGGGTTCAGTAGACTTCAATAAGAGCCAGAAAGGAAATTCTTTTCATTGAAGACAGCGCTCAAGAGCAAACACCCAAAGTGTCTGTCTGGCTTTGCTGCCACTTGAGGCTCTGTTAACAAAGAGACATACAAGTAGTTCATGAGCAGAGTTCACCATCCAGTTTTTTCTTTCTCTCTGTGCTTGTGGCCACTGAGTGCAGGAGCTGATGGTTTGATGCTGGGGTGGCGAGGATCCTCTTGTTCTGCAGCCTTGCGGTGTGTAAGTCCTGCACAGTGAGGAGCGTCGGCCTGATGGTGCACCACTCTCTGTAGGGCCCTATGGTCTGGCTTGGTGATGCCCCATATCAAGATGCTTTCCGCAGCACCTCAGCAGAAGATCTCCAAACACACAAAACAGTGTTTTCTTCATAATTACAAACCTGTCATGATGGAAAAGCATCAGCAACAGCAGTTCTCTATGAAGCATGATGACCTCCTGTACATAAACTCTCACTCTCACACACACACACACACACACACACACACTTACAAACACAGACCTTGCCCAATAATAAACTTGTGCAAAATGCAAACGAAGACAGAAAAAATTATGACTTTCTGTAAGAAAATTAGGTTTTGACAGACGGGTTGAACTCAAACAAACGCACCTGCGTCAATAACTTAAATAATCCTGTTTAACAACACACCTGTTTTTGTTAACAGAATAAACATTACACGTCCTATAAACAAGAAGGGAAAAAGAGTCTGTTTAAGTAGCATAAATATCCTGGTGAAAAAAGTATTCTGGAAATTACAGAGTAAATATTGCACCATTTTTGTGTATGTGTGTTGGGGGGTAACTGAGCCAGCCATGGTACAATTTAGTGAAAAACATGCAACAATAAATGTTTAAGTGGAAACACACACATGCACACACACACACTGTACTGCTGTGGAAATAATACTCAATGCTACCACCTCAATTAAAACATCATTTTGAAGGAGTTTGCGTCACTTTGTACAGAAGAGTGTTGTAATCTCTCCTAAAACAGGGTCTCATGTGTTACTGCAGTCCGCTGAGACTGTGTACAAGAAGCATTAGCCCATGGTGGTATGGGCTCTGAGCTCCAGGAGCTTCATATTGTATAGTGTGGGAGGTCCCCTGTTCTTAACGTAATGTTTAAGTTTATGTCTTAACCTCAGGGACGGCAGCACTCAATGCAAACGTCTGACTGGAGAACAACATACGATGGTTATGCTGTGAAAAGTTTTTATGCCACCTGAGGAAAACTGAAGTCACATGTGTAGACCACCGCATCGTCTTCCCTGGTGGTACTGAGCATAAGACAATAACAGAACCCACGTCTGACTCAGAGCTCCATCACCCATGATTCACCTCTAAACATTTATCCGTCTGCATGTTTGAGAGGTCCCTTATTAAATAATGAAAAAAAAAAAACAGATCCATTAGGAAAGTGTCAATTTTTCAAGATGAGATGTCAAAACTTTGAAAAGAAGAGCTGATGGTTGTCAGAGGTGGTGCAGACAGTGTTGGCTCATTTACTATAGAGAACAGTATGAGAACAGGGAGAGCTGTGTCTGTGGAGACACATCTGGATGGCAGTTTCACTGTGGTCTATCATATTAGAAACACTGTGTGCCCCAATGTATACATACATATAAATGACATTGTGTGTGTGCTCGTGTGCTGTCCTTATGTGTCCTTGAAGGATGAAAAAGGAGAAAATGATCTCTAAAGTGAGGACACTGTGCTGACCTTGACCTAATAGGCTGGTTAATGGTTATAATAGCCTGTCAGTAGATTTCCAGAAATTACTACATGCAGATTACTTTATCACCAATTAAAGCATTTACACTTACTAGCCAGTGTGTTTCAAAAGTCATTTTTTGCAACAGAATAGAAATATGTGACACTGATATACATACATTTGCCTCATATTTAGGAGCATTCTAGCAAATATGTGTATTCATGTTTATGTTGATCCAAATTGACCGTAGTCATAAGGCACAGTGATCCTACGTGTCAGACAAGGAAAGAAGTATTCAGAAAATGAAATGTAATGTATATATTGTCTAAATGTTTTCATATATTCCATTCAAATCTATGAATAAGGCAATTTAAATGCAATCATTAATAAGACCATTGTAACCGTTAAGCTAAGCATTAGATGATGGTTTTAGATACCAATGAAGGGGGGCAGATTGGACAGAGCTACTTCCCATTTAGCTTTAAGGCTAATAAAAGTGATCATTTTCTTTTCTGGGTAATATTGGGAAGAACTGTCAGTAAAGACCTATTGTGTGCTAAAATGTTAGCATGGAGCCAAGCTGTCAGTTTATGTTAAAGAGTTATCTTAGGGTACTGGGGCCACTATTGTATTGGGAACAAGTCTCTTTACTTGGTACACTACCACTACCAAGCCAGTGAGGGGCTGCTTCTCTGGAAGATTGGTTATCATCCAGCTTCACAATAAAATGGTCATATTTAATATATAGCTCAATACCAGTTGCTGCTGCCGCGTGCTTCATTGTTCCAGTTTTACTTAAAATAAATTACAATGTTCCACAGGAAGTATGAAACCACTAATGAGAGCATGAACGCAGACTAGGGCAGTGTGCTACAGGAGCACAGTGGCTGTGTCCCAATTCAGAGGCCGCAGTTCAGACTGCTTTTGGTTCAGCCTTCGCGGTCTAAAGCAGCTACAAAGGGCCACACCTTCGTGGACTGCGTCCTCCAAAGGATGTCCCTGAAATGGGACACAGCAGGTCTAGATTAGCTTCCATAAAAACATTTTAACCTGCAGTGTGGAACCTTCATCTCCCTCTTCTGGCAGTGAGAGTAATTACCCAAACACTGAGTTAAGTCAGCTTGGAACAAAGAGAGTGACAAAGAAATGCATCGTCGGCCCACTTTGATGATGCACCAGCCCACATCCCAGGGCTGGCGTTGGGGTTTTTGAGGAATGAAAGACATAACACTTACCAGTAAGTCTCATCCATGTCTGCCCTCAGCCTCTTCTCATCTTTCATGGTTCTTAAACGAGGAAAAGCCACACCAATGAGAATCTGTGTTTTGTCCTCACCGTCGATCGCTTTCTTTTTTTAGACTAATCCTTGAACATCAAGTTTCTTTTTTATCTGGAGCATCACAAACTTTTCTTGGACGCTTCCTTGGTTTGTCCACCATAGGTTCCGCCATACTCCTCGTTGTCGAAGCCTACATGTACGGATGTAATGGACATTCATTTATGTAAAAATCTCCACACTCCAGCTTTAATAAATTATCTCAAAATAAAGATACTCCATTCGGCTGTCGAATGTGTAAATACAAACATATACAGCATATAGAGCTATGTGCATAACCTGTGCATCTCCACTGAATCTCCAAACTTGCACAGCTTCATGAACAGGTTCATCCTGGTAAAATAAACACCGTCATGCTGGTAAAGATGATCATTTTCACCCTCCTTGGGTGTTTCATCTTGGATTTTCTCGTAATTTTTTCTTCACTGTCTGGGGACTGGAACAGCTGTGTTTATTGGAGGGTTGATGTTCTCCTTCTTCTTCCAACTTGTAAGACACTTTGGGCCACCTCCAGGGGGCAAATGTTAGTGTTCAGGTCCATGTACCGTATCCAAATTGGGGGAAGAACACAAAGACCTACAGAGTGACTGTGCTGGAACAAATCTTCATGTAGGTGTTTCAGCCGAACCTGCGACTGGCTGAGCAGATTAGGTCAGAGAGTGTTGACAGTTGTAACATGTTACAACAATCTCCAGCCAAAACAGTATGTTTTGGTTTTAAAGATATTATAGATAGGAAATTTACTCAATTGGGGAGTCTATTATTAATTATTATTATCATTATTCAGAATATCTTCTTAGCCAGAACTTAACATTGGATTTTTGGACAAAAGGAGCCAAGAGTGTCATGAGCTGGAAGGTGTTGCATGGGGAAATTAATTGCCTTAAGGATGAAGTCAGACGGAAGAGTTTGGAAGTGGAAGGAGACAGTGAAGCAAACCAGCTGGTGTACCTCACTGACATCACTCCAAATGTGAGGTGTGAAAAAAGAATGGCCTGTCAGGGTTCATTTCAGTGATGTACAGCATCTTTCTCCAGAGGCTGGGCACAGAGGCAACAGTTAGGCCTGTTAAAGGACAAAGCTGGTGTGATTTATTACCTTTTTATTAAATAAATATGATCGATAAAACAACCCCCAAAAAAGAAAATAATCAAATCATTTATTGCACAGCTCATTTATGTGCTTTTAAATACTCTTCGAAAGGCAATGGCATGATAAGTTATATGTGGCTGTAGCTATACAGAAGCTTTGTTCACAGAATTTAAAAAACTACAAAATAAGCTCAGCCTTATCCTTAAACCAGAGAGACTTACAATTGAAAGACATCACTAAAGCTTCACTGCAGTAGGAGACCCTGGTTTAAGAACTAAGTACTACATCATTTCAATAG